GCAGGCAACTCAGGGGGACGCGTGTGCTGCAGGCTGGGCCCCTGTGTGTGGTCCCCATTTGGGTCCCCTGCCCCCAAGGCCATGGCACAGGCCTGGGCCTTGGGGAGAGGCAGGGCAGAGCCTCCTCCCGGGAGCACATGGCTTGGATGGACTGGCCAGAGCCCCCCCGGATGGAAACCATGTCACCGATGGGTCCAGTGGCTCCCTGGGCCTTGGAGAGCACTGGTCCCTGGCTAACCCCGGCGGTGGGGGTTCACCAGCCTCCGGCCATTGCACCCTCAGCACAGAGGCCGGGGCCGTGCCTGGGCCCTCCGCTGTGGAAGTGGTTGGTGCCCCCACCTCCTGCCCGACACTGTACCCCCGTGGCAGAGCTGTTGCCGGCAGCGGCCAGACAAGTTCCTCGGTCCATTAAAGTGTCCCGTTGGAGAGCAGCTGTGCTGTGTCCTTGGGCGGGAGCCGGGTGCTCCCGGGCCTGCCCGCGCCATGGCTCCCAGCTCAGCCCTGCACTGCGACGCTGGCGTCAGGGCATCAGCTTAGCTCTGGTCCGTGTCGGCTGGGGGCAGCTCAACCAGAGCGGGCGTCTAGCAATGCCGGAGCTGCCGTGACTGGTGCTTGGGGCTCGGTGTGAGAACATGCGGGGCTGGGTGTGGGGCATCGAACCCCAAGGCTGGCAGGGACCGTGAGGGGCGTCCGGCCCAGCCCCCCGCGTGGAGGCAGGACACTGCTGCTGATCCAGCCTCCTCTGGAGCCCCCCGCACAGGACATCTCCCTTCTGCGCAGAGCTGCACGTGCCGCTCCGGAGGCCTCCCGGCGCCGAGCAGAGCACCCGCGTCCCTCCTGCTGCTCACCCCGCTTTGGCTGACGCTGGATCCCCCCACCCGACTCCTGCCCCCGGCATGTCCCTGGTCCCTCCCCACCCGAGTGCCAGTCCCGCAGCCGTGGCAAAGGCCATATCATGGCACGTGGCCCAGACAGGGAAGAGCTTACATCCTTCCAGGCCTCATGGCCGTGTGCATGCACTCCAGCTCTCCTGGGCCACGCGTGGCTGTGTGCACGTGCTACATGGCTGCATGCGTGTGCTCCAGCTCTCCCGGGCCACGTGTGGCTGTGTGCATGTGCTACGTGGCTGCGTGCGCGCGTGCCAGCTCCCCAGGCCACGCGTGACACTGCATGTTCCAGTTCCCCACAAGCACGTGGGCATGGAGCTGGACTGGCTCTGCTGGGGGCTGTGGTGGGAAGGGGTGCGTGCTACAAAAGCCCAAGAGAGGGAGGCCCTTGCCTTGGGCAGCCCCCGTCTTGGCATCTGTCCTTTCGGCGGCCGCGATCCCGGTGCTGGAGGCTGCAGCCAGGGGCTGGGGGCCTACGGGGACGTGCCTGAGCCAGGCCCAGCACTGGTGATTGGAGCTGGCCCTGGCTGATCCTGCCCTTGGAGCCCCCGGCATTGCCTGCCTCCAGCCTGGGGGCTGTGGCCAGGCCAGGCTTCAGCTCCGGGGAGAGCAGGGGCACAGCTCCCGGCCCGCGCCGCGCTGTGCAGCAGAGGCGGTTTGGAGCGGGCTGTCGGGCAGCTTGTCTAGCCCAGGCCGGCTCCCGAGGGGGGCTCGTGCCCCAGGAGCACGGGCCAGCCTGGGTTGAGGGGCCGGCGCACAGGCTGGAGCCTGCCGGCGGCACCTTCTCTCCATGCCGCTGCGGGACGCCGGGTGGATGCACCCCCAGGGCTGCCTCCCACCCCTCCAGCCTCCTCCCGGGCTGATCCCCGGCCCAGTCCCGGGGCACCCACCGCCTCCCCGCGAGCTGTGGGGCAGCCGGAGGCCTGGGAGGCGTCCTTGCAGAGCCGCCAGCTCGGGGCTCGTGGCAGCAGGTACGGTCTGTGCCAGCGCAGCCGTGGCCAGGGTCGCACTCCCCTCGGCCGGCGAGGGATGCCCCCGGCAGCGGCCTCGCCACCTGCCTGCTCTCGCTGCGCTTGCCCTCGGGCGGTGCAAGGTCAGGGCTGAGCCCAGCGTCCGGCTCGACTCCAAGCTGCCGGAGAAGGAGCGGGGCGCATCTCCCAGCCCCTCCTGCTGCGCCCGGGGCCGAGGGACCACCCCCCACTCGGCCCCCTTGCGTGAGATGGACCCCGTCCGCCATGGGGGTGTCTTGGCGTCTCCCCCAGCCCGTGCTGCACTCGCTGGCCTGTGCTGGGGCTGCTGGCAGCTGTCGGGGTCAGTGGGTGCCAGGTAGGGGCTTTTGGGGGCAGCAACGGTCCTGGCGTCAGTGCTGGCAGGGGCAGCTCGCATGCTCCCCCCCCCGGGACTCGGGTGGGCTTCCCGATGCCTTCCTAAGCTGGGGGCATGGGGAGGCCTGGCGGGGGGCAGCCCCGGGTCCCATCTGGGCGCACCTGACCCCCTTCCCCACCTGCTGCGGGTCGCAGGCCCTGGAGGATCAGCGGCTGCAGAACTTCCAGCGCCTGAAGCAGCTGGACGAGGCGGCGCTGGTGGCCAACCAGGAGACCCTGGAGTGCCTGATCTGCTACCAGACCGTGGCGCCGGGGGCGGGCGTGCTGCTGCGCGAGTGTCTGCACAACTTCTGCAGGTACCGGGGTGATGGGGGTGTCTGCCGGCCTGGTTCCAGCTCTGGGGCGGGGGGCAGCTGTGCCAGGGTCCCGGGCAGCTGGAGGTGAGGCCTGGGGCGCCCCTGCGTGACCATGTCCCCGTGCGCCCGCAGGGAGTGCCTGCGGCAGGTGATCAGCTACAGCGAGGAGCCGCAGGGCGCCTGCCCCTTCCGCGATGACACCTACGCCTGCAGCAGCCACCTCCACGCCTGCCGGGCCCGCCGAGACTCCTCTGTCGGAGACGGGAGGGTTGAGGGGGGAGAGGAGCGAGGTCTGGAGCATCACGGAGTCCCAGCGCCGCAGGGCGGGCAGGGAGCTGTGGGGTCACATCCAGTCCAAGCCCTGCCTGAGCCAGGATCGGCCCCGTTCAACCCCCCAGGCAAACCCCATGTCTGACCTTGGAGCCGCCCAACACAGTCACCCCTGGCAGAGCCCCAGGCATCACCCCTGCCCGTCCCCGGGATACAGGGGGGCTGCGGCCGCCAACGTCCTGCTTCTGTGGTATCACGAAGGGTGCACCCCACAGCTGGGGCTGGGGCTGGGGCTGGGGGCACCCGATGAAATGAACAGGTGACTGGTTGAATGCTAACAAGGTGACCCCTGGCTGGACGGCAGCTCCGTGGAGAAGGATTCATAGACGTTCGCGTCGGAAGGGACCTCAGCAGGTCATCGAGTCCGACCCCCTGCCTGGGCAGGGAAGAGCGCTGGGGGCAGGCGACCCAGCCAGGGGCTTGTCCAGGCTCCTGTTGAAGACCCCGCGGGTAGGGGAGAGCACCACCTGCCTCAGTGCCCGTTCCAGATCCTGGGAGTCTCGGCAGACAGACTCAGGAGGAGGCTGCGGTGCGACGCAGCGGCACAAAAGGCCAATGCGGTTTTGGACTGCATCAACAGCAGCACGAGGTGCAAGACGCAGGAGGTGGATTGTGCTTCTCTGCTCGGCCCTGGTCAGGCCTCACCTGGATCCCGTGCGCAGGTCTGGGCTCTGCGTTTTAAAAAGGCCGTGAAGAAATGAGAGAGGGTCCAGAGGCAGCAACAAAGATGCTCGAGGGCTTGGAAAGCAGGCTGTATGAGGAGAGGTGGAAGGAGCTGGGCATGTTCAGCTGGTGGAAAAGGGAACAGGACTCTGGTCTGCAAATACCTGACAGGCTGCTGGAGAGAAGAGGGAAGGAGCTTGTCTCTTGCTGCAGACGAGGACGGGACCCATGGCTTGAAGTTGCAGCAAAGCTGGTTTAGATTGGCGATCAGGAAAGACCGCGCTGTGAGACGAGGGAGGCCGTGGGAGAGAAGCCAGGGACGTTGTGGGGTCTCCGTCCCTGGAGGTGTCCCTTCCAACCCCAACATGTATGAATGACTAGATACAGCAACACCTGCCTTGTACCGTGGGGATTTCCCAGGCTTCTGGGCTGTGCTGGGTGCCCCCTTCCTGCTCCACGTGTCGGGGGTTTAAGCCCCCGCAACGTGCTGGGTGCTGCAGCCCAGGCTGGGGATGGGGCTGGGCTGGGCCAATGCTCCTGCTGGCACCAACCCCGCAGCGTCCTGGCTGGAGGGTCTTGCCCCGCGCTCGAGCTCAGCCCCACGCTGCACTGGGCAGGAAGGGATTTTTCCTTCATGGTCAGACTGGTCTAAACGGGGGAGTTTTGCCTTCCTCTGCAGCGGGGGAAAGCCTCAGTCAGGACTGCCTGGGCACGCGCTGACATTTCGTAGAAGCAGGACGTTGGCTGCCTCAGCCCCCTGCTCTCCCTGGGCAGGCTCGGGCGCGAGGTCGGTGCTGTCAGGTTTGACAGTATTTGATGTGGAGTTTGGATTATGGTTTGTCTGGGCTGCCTCAGGCCGGGCTTGGACCGGACGTGCCCCGCTGGTCCCTGCCAGCCACGCGGCTCTGGGACTCTGGGGTGCGATGAAGACACGGGACTTGGGACTTTCTGCAGCAAGGGGCAGTGACCGCGTGGGATTCGATGCCACAGGAGGGGTGGAGGCAGGGAGCAGAGCCAGGGGCAGCCAGGGCTGGGCAGATCCCTGGCTGTGGACCGGCGCGGCTGGGATGTTTCCTCTGGCACCTCCAACTCGATGCTGGTGGATGTCCGGGCCAGTGCTGAACGGGGGGTGGATCACTAGAGCTCCCATTAGATGCTCCCCCTTGACAGCACCCAGCCCTGCGTGCTCAGGGCCGGACTACGGGCAAGATGGACTGTGGGTCCAGCCCTGCCGACGTTCCTGTTTCTTG